GGACGTCCGTGCTAAGAGCACACTCACCCCCGACGGACGGAGGACAGACAGACTCAGACTCAGCAATAAGACTAGCAGCGTAGTCTAGACGACAGCGAGCAGCAAAGTCGACAAGCTCAGCAACCAAGGCAGACGCAGCAGTGAACTCAAAGGAAGGGTCAGTGACAACAGTAGCCAGGAGACGTGTGACAGTAGGACTGGCAGCACGAAGAGAGTCAGACTCCGGGTCAGCAAGGACAGGAAGAGAGGACTCTGGAGGAGACGGCAACGGGACACGCAGAGGAGCAGTGGAAGGACGCAATGCCATCTGGTGTGTTCCTGGGACCGCAGGAGGACGCGAACGCGGAGCACGACTACTAGTGCGAGCAGCACGAACAGGCGACGCAGGACGAGACGCAGGCTCACGACGCTCAGCAAGACCTCCAGTAGGACCAGTGTAGGGAGAAGGAGCAGGCAGGGGGGAGGCGGGCTGTAACTGTGACCGCGACTGGACAGGCTGTGGACACTCTAAGGGAGGAGCAGGACCAGTAGAAGGCGAGAGACCAAGAACCTGCTCAAGGAGCGGAACGAAGTACGGCCGCGGCCGCGCAGCGCCTCCAGAAACAGCAGGGACAGCACCAGCACCCCCAGCGGCAGCACCAGCGCCAGCAGCACCTCCGGCTCCAGCAGCGCCAACTCCAGCACCCTCAGAAGCACCAGCGCCAGCAGCACCGTCAGCTCCAACACCAGCAGCACCTCCAGCTCCAGCAGCGCCAACTCCAGCACCCTCAGAAGCACCAGCGCCAGCAGCACCGCCAGCTCCAACACCAGCAGTACCTCCAGCTCCAGTAGCGCTAACTCCAGCACCCTCAGAAGCACCAGCGCCAGCAGCACCTCCAGCGCCAACACCAGCAGGACCGCCAGCTCCAGAAACAGCAGGGACAGCACCAGCACCCCCAGCGGCAGCACCAGCGCCAGCAGCACCTCCGGCTCCAGCAGCGCCAACTCCAGCACCCTCAGAAGCACCAGCGCCAGCAGCACCTCCAGCAGGACCAGCGCCAACAGCTCCAGCAGCACCCCGGAGGCTGCGACAGTACCGAGAGTACCACTCACGTAGCTGCTGGGAAGAGAGAGCTCCCCTAGGCGCAGCACCCCCAGGCGCAGGACCTCCAGACCCAGCACCCCCAGAGACAGCACCCCCAGGCTCAGCACCTGCAGTCTCTGCACCCCCAGGCTCAGCACCCGCAGGCTCCGCACCCCCAGGCTCAGCACCCCCAGGCGCAGTACCTCCAGACCCAGCACCACCAGGCTCAGCACGCTCAGTACCTCGCGCAGGACCACAGTCGACAGCTACCTCGACAGGCTCGACCGGGTCTACCTGGGAAACACCGGAGGGAGCAGGAACCTGGGGAGGCAAGGGGTCTACCAAGGCAGCACCTGGCGTGAGGAAGAGCGGCGGAGGGGGGTGCGGGGAAGTGCGGTAGGGGAAGAGACGGTAGAAGGGGACCGACTCGTCAAAGGTGACGTCCTGGGAAGACAGAACACGGCGCGAGGTGGGGTGGTAAAACTGCCAGCCAGGCGCGTCAGGGGGGAAGCCAAGGAAGACGCAGGGAACAGCACGGGGGGACAGCTTGTCCGCAGACAAGTCGCGGACAAAAGCCCGAGATCCCCAGACACGAAACGCAGACGCATCGCCAACCTTCCCCGTCCACCTCAGAGTAGGGGAGGTCTCCGGCAAGGAGACCCGGGGCTGAAGGTTGATCTGATGCGCCGCGTACTGAACCGCGAACGGCCACAGAAAATGGGGAGCAGCCGCATGGATCATGGACGTACGAGCGACGTCCATGACCATACCATTGCGGTGCTCAGCAATCCCATTTTGCTGTGGAGAGGCCGGAAGCGTGAACGTCTGGCGGATAACCTGTGCACGACAGAAGGCTCGCAGAAGGGCAGAGGAAAACTCACCGCCTCTGTCGGAGTGCAGACGCAGGACAGGAAAGTCCGAGCCGAAACTCTCTCTGAGCTGGAGACGAGCTGCGCGGATCCAGTCGATCAACACCTCAGTGACCTCACCCTTGCAGCGCAAGGGGAAGACTGCGGTGTAACGCGAGTAGTCGTCAACCACCAGCAGGAAGTTACGCTCGTGACCCTGTCCACGGACGCGGGCTGGGCCCCACACGTCCATGTAAAGCGTCTGCAGCGTCTGCCGCCCCTCGACGCAGGGAACGCAGGTGGGGCCAGGCCCCGGAGGAAGAGAAGGGAGGGACCGGGGGAGACCCGAGACAAGGAAACGAGAGGCCATGCCTCGGAGACGAGGCAGGGAGGGGTGACCAAGGCGGTGGTGCCAGAGGAGAGTCTGGTGAGACAGGAGACGACACGAGCAGGGGGCAGACTCAGGACCAGACCTGGACGCTGCAGCAAACACCTGACTCGACGCAGCTACCTGAGGAGACTCAGTAGTCAGTGTGTACAGGCTCGACCCCGGCTGACGGGTAAACGTGGCCAAGTGTCGGCCCGTCCGAGCACACGTACAGTGGGTCACTCGCTGACGCGCAGGAGTGAACTGGTCAACCCCTGCGTCCTGTAGGTCAGCACCACTCACCAAGTTCGTAGAGAACGAGGGGAGGTAAAGACCTGACAGGGAGCCAGAAGGGGCCGCCGGACACGGTAAGACAGTGGAGAAGTGGGCAAGGACGGGACCCCCAGAGGGGTCTGCCAGGGAGACTGCAACCGGCCGACTAAGCGGCGTGAGTGTGGTGCGGTCTCGAAAGAAGGAGCGAGAAGCACCCGAGTCAAGGGTGAAGGTGTGTAACACCTGAGACGACGTGGTACCTGAGAGAGCAGACTCACCCGCACCTGGGGCAGCAGACTCACCAGCACCTGGAGGAGCAGACTCACCAGCACCTGGAGGAGCAGACGCACTAGCACCTAGAGCAGCAGCCTCAATGCCCGGGTCAGGCGGAACACACAGGTAACAGTCACTCACATCACTAGTAGGCAATGCATACATGGCAGTGAGGATAGCATCATAGTCAAGAGCATAGATATCTACTCTCTGCCTAAGCAGCTCCACCCAGTCGGGGAGCTCAGCGGCGTCGCCAAACTCCGTACGCCAGACGTCGCTCAGACGGGCGAAGCAGCGGGACTCGGCGTGACCAAGCGTCCCGCAGGGCTGACCAGCCCGAGCACCAGTGCGAATGACGTACGGACAGCGAGCAGTACTCCGTGACCCTCCACGCTGAGCGTACCACTCACGAAGCTGCTGGGGCGAAAGGACCGCGCGCGGACTACGCTGCAGCTGTGCCTGGCCACTACAAGTAGCTCCCGAACTCCTCACGCCAGAACGACTCCCACTACGGCCACCCCGACAACCCCAAGTAGCGTACCACTCACGAAGCTGCTGGGGCGTGAGGGACTCACGCGGACGTCGCTGGAGCTGCATCTGGCCACAGCCAGGAGCAGGAGGAGCAGTGGTAGCCGCAGTAGCAGCAGTAGAAGCAGTAGCAGTAGTCGCAGTGCGGCCACCCCTACAACCCCAACTAGCGTACCACTCACGAAGCTGTTGGGGGGCGAGGGACTCACGTGGACGGCGCTGGAGCTGCATTTGGCCACGCCAGGAGCAGCAGTAGCAGTAGAAAGAGCAGTAGCAGCAAGAGCAGCAGTAACAGCAGTACGGGCAGGGCAGTGCTCACCAGTGGCGAGAAGGGCAGGCGTACGACTGCGGCAACGGCGAGGCGGCTACCACTGCAGGGCGAGGGCTCCGCGGCTGCTCCAGGGGCGGCTGCTGCAGTGGCGGCTGCGCCAGGGGCGGCTTCTGCAGTGGCGGCTGCTCCAGGGGCGGCTGCTGCAGTGGCGGCTGCTCCCGGGGCGGCTGCTGCAGGGGCGGCTGCTCCAGGGGCGGCTGCTGCAGTGGCGGCTGCTCCAGGGGCGGCTGCTGCAGGGGCGGCTGCTCCAGGGGCGGCTGCTGCAGTGGCGGCTGCGCCAGGGGCGGCTGCTGCAGTGGCGGCTGCTCCAGGGGCGGCTGCTGCAGTGGCGGCTGCTCCCGGGGCGGCTGCTGCAGGGGCGGCTGCTCCAGGGGCGGCTGCTGCAGTGGCGGCTGCTCCAGGGGCGGCTGCTGCAGTGGCGGCTGCTCCAGGGCGCGGGTTAGGGCAGGGCGCCGCGACGGGCAGGGGCGACGAGGGAGCCGCAACGGGGCTGCGAGGGAGCCGCGGAGGGGCCGCGACGAGCCACGAGGGGCCGCGAGGGGCCGCGACAGGGCCGCGAGGGGCCGTGAGAGGGGCCGTGAGGGGCCGGGAGAGGGGCCGCGAGGGGCCGCGAACGGCCGCGGAGGGGCCGCGGAGGGCCGCGAGGGGCCGCGAACGGCCGCGGGGGGGCCGCGAGGGGCCGCGAACGGCCGCGGAGGGGCCGCGAGAGGGGCCGCGAGGGGCCGCGAACGGCCGCGGAGGGGCCGCGAGAGGGGCCGCGAGGGGTCGCGAACGGCCGCTAGGGGCTGTGAGAGGGGCCGCGAGGGAGTGGCTAAGGGGCCGCGAGGGGCCGAGATAGAAGGGCCGCGAGGGGCCGTGAGTGGGGCCGCTAGGGAGCGGCTAAGGGGCCGCGAGGGGCCGTGAGAGGGGCCGCGAGGGGCCGTGAGTGGGGCCGCTAGGGAGCGGCTAAGGGGCCGCGAGGGTCCGTGAGAGGGGCCGCGAGGGAGCGGCTAAGGGGCCACTAAGGGCAGGGGACGCGGGGCGCGACTCGGGCAGGAAAAAAAAATTCGAATTTTCGGTGGGCCCTAGGAAACGTTCCCACTAGGGAACCTGCTCTATACCATGTCAGAATCTCACCGAAGGAACGTCTCACCGTCGGCTTATTGGTTAACGCGGAGGGCTCGCACGCCTTCCGCCCGCTCGTCATCTCTAAGGCTAAGCGTCCCCACGATTTCAGGCCCGACTTCGATCCTGAGGAGTTTTGCTACTGGCGCAACACTGCAAAGGGGTGGATGACGAAGGCGGTGCGTGTACATTCAGTCATTTGAACTACCCGAAATGCATGTGCATTATATTTTAGATTCAATGTTTTCCTGGTCTGTATCACCCCCCCGTGCATCAACACACCCCCCCCCCCCCCCCCCCCCCTTCCCCTCCTCTGTCTTTGCGTGTGTACCCTTTGCGTGACAGCTTTTCACGCACTTCATTGAGCAGTTGGACACTGCCATGTACGCCGAGGGCCGCCACATCGTGGTGCTGCTCGACAACGCAAGCAGTCACACCCTGACAACCGAGGGCGCGGTGACCGAGGATCTCTTTGGGTTCCGCACCCGTGCGCTCAAGAACGTGCGCCTGGTGTACCTGCCGCCTAACACCACCTGCTTCACGCAGCCCCTGGACCAGGGGATGATAGCCATGACGAAGGCGCGGTACCGCCAGCATTGGCTCCGCGCCTTCACCGGCATGTGGACTGCAGACGGCGCGACTTCCGCGGCTGCGAGGTTCAAGCCGAACCTCCGTCTCGTGCTGGAGTGGCTCCATGACGCGTGGATGAACATCCCGCGGAGCACTATCCAGCGCTGCTGGTGCCGCACCGAGTGCCTACCGCGGGCGTGGGCGTTGGAACTCCCGCACGTGGAACGCCCCGCCGACCCTCAGGCCCAGGCAGGCGGTGACATCGGCCTGGACGAGGACATGCACGACGTCGGCATCTTAATCGATCGCCTCTGCCTCGGGCCGTCCGCGATGGCTGCGGCAGAGTTCGTCGGCATAGATGAGAACCAGCCGACTTGCGCCGAGCCGGGCGACGACCCCCTGGCGATGGAGCCGGCTGCGGCGCACACGGCGCATATGTGGGAGGCGCCTGCGTCGATGCAGGCGGTGTACGACGACAGCAACCCTGCGACGCGCGAAGCACGTCGCACGGCTCGCGCCGCCTGCGAGATGCTTATTGGGTACGCGCGTGCTACGTGCATCACGCCGAGGGATCTGTGCACGCTGTTTGACATCCGCAACCCCCTCATCATCACGCGGATGGAGCGCGCAAGCTCGGCTCTTAACCTTAACGCGACTCCGCCGCCCGTGATGACACACGAGGACACTGTCGAACTTATATGCTATAGTCTTTCTAGGCTGTAGTGGGGTAGACAGTATGGGGTACAGCTTTCTAGGGTTTCATATTTGTACCCATCTCATTTCCTAGTTCATCATTCATTCCTCATTTCTTCACATGGTATAGAGCAGGTTCCCTAGTGGGAACTTTTCCTTGGGCCCACCACTAAAACTTTTTTTTCTGCCCTGAGATCGAGGCGCCCCTGACCGAGGCGCGCCCTGTGGGCCGCCCTCCCCTTATCGGCCCGTTGCGCCGCCCTTAGCGGCCCCTCTCACGGCCCCGTCGCCACCCTTCGCGGCCCCGTCGCCGCCCCTTGCGGCCCGGCCACCCTCTCGCGGCCCCGTCGTCGCCTTCGCGGCCCACCCGCCGCCCCTCGCGGCCGCGTTGCCGCCCTTTCGCGGCCCCTGTCGCCGCCCTACCGCGGCCCCGTCGCCCCGCCGCCGCCCTTCAGCGGCCCCGTCGCCGCCCTACCGCGGCCCCGTCGCCGCCCTCTAGCGGCCCCTCCGCCGCCCTTCAGCGGCCCCGTCGCTGCCCTACCGCGGCCCCGTCGCCGCCCTCTAGCGGCCCCACCGCCGCCCTTCAGCGGCCCCGTCGCCGCCCTACCGCGGCCCCGTCGCCGCCCTCTAGCGGCCCCTCCGCCGCCCTTCAGCGGCCCCGTCGCTGCCCTACCGCGGCCCCGTCGCCGCCCTCTAGCGGCCCCGCCGCCGCCCTTCAGCGGCCCCGTCGCCGCCCTACCGCGGCCCCGTCGCTGCCTTCTAGCGGCCCCGCCGCCGCCCTTCAGCGGCCCCGTCGCCGCCCTACCGCGGCCCCGTCGCCGCCCTCTAGCGGCCCCGCCGCCGCCCTTCAGCGGCCCCGTCGCCGCCCTACCGCGGCCCCGTCGCTGCCCTCTAGCGGCCCCGCCGCCGCCCTTCAGCGGCCCCGTCGCCGCCCTACCGCGGCCCCGTCGCCGCCCTCTAGCGGCCCCGCCGCCGCCCTTCAGCGGCCCCGTCGCCGCCCTACCGCGGCCCCGTCGCCGCCCTCTAGCGGCCCCGCCGCCGCCCTTCAGCGGCCCCGTCGCCGCCCTACCGCGGCCCCGTCGCTGACCTCTAGCGGCCCCGCCGCCGCCCTTCAGCGGCCCCGTCGCCGCCCTACCGCGGCCCCGTCGCCGCCCTCTAGCAGCCCCGCCGCCGCCCTTCAGCGGCCCCGTCGCCGCCCTACCGCGGCCCCGTCGCCGCCCTCTAGCGGCCCCGCCGCCGCCCTTCAGCGGCCTCGTCGCCGCCCTACCGCGGCCCCTCCCCGGCCCTGCCGCCGCCGTCGCTGAGCCGCCGCCGCTGCAGCCGAGCCGCCGAGCCGCCGCCGAGCCGCCGAGCCGCCGCCGAGCCGCCGAGCCGCCGCCGAGCCGCCGCCGAGCCGCCGAGCAGCCGCCGAGCTACCGCCGAGCCGCCGAGCCGTTGCTGAGCCGCCGAGCCGCCACCGCCGCAGCTGCGGCCCTGTTCCTGCCTGCGCGCCCCGGCCCTCCCCAGCCGGACTGGTGAGAGCTTTCCCGAGCAGCGCCTCTGCCACTGCACTACCTCTAGCCTGCCGCTCTCACCACTAGACTACTGCTGTCATGGCTACCTCCAGTGTCCTTACCTTTGATGCTGAGGGACGAGCTGTTGACTTTGAGGTCTGGGTCGATGACCTGCAGCTTTTCCTACAGTGCGATAGGGCAGACGGTCTCTCCCTGTTCGATCTCACGTCTGATGCCTCCCCTGCCCCGCCTACTGATGCTGACAGCACTGTTCGCTCACAGTGGGCCACACGCGATGCTGCTGCCCGTCTTGCCGTCACTTACCGACCACTGAGCGTGCGCACTTTAGTCAATACAAGAGTGCTCAGACCTTGTACGACGCTGTAGTTGCACGCTACTCTTCCCCTGCCACTGCTGCCCTTAGCCGCCTCATGCTGCCGTACCTGTTCCCTGACCTCGCCGCCTTTCCCACAGTCGCTGACCTCATTACGCACCTTCGCACTAGTGACACCCGCTACCGCGCTGCGCTTCGTGCTGAGTTCTGCGCTAAGAACCCCCCCCCCCATGTACATCACCCTCTACTACATAGTCACCCGGCTCCCTGACTCCCTTCGCTCGGTCAGGGACCACTTCCTCTCTGTTTGCCCCACCACTCTCACCGTTGACCTCCTCGAGGAGCGCCTCCTGGCAGCAGAGAAGAGTGTAGTCGCTGTAGGAGCCTCTCGTGGTGACCCTCGTACCCCCTTCTTTGAGGGGTGTTCCCCCTCCCCCCTCTTACCCTCTGTTGCCTCTGCTGCTGCGGCCGACCTAGTTGGTCTTGAGTCGGTCGGCGCGGCGTCTGCCCCTAGCGGGAGACGCCGCCCTGGCAAGGGCAAGGGGGGCAAGGGCGCTGGAGGAGCTGGCGGGGGCGGTGGAGGTGGCGGTGGAGGCGGCGGAGGGAGTGAGGGTGGTGGTGGGGGTGGTGGCGGGAGTGGGGGTGTCGGTGGCGGCAGTGGAGGCGGAGGAGGCGGGGGCGGTGGCGGTGGGCGCGGAGGAGGCGGCAGTGGCGACGGTAGTGGAGGTGGCGGCGGCGGCGGTGGCGCTGGTCGGGGTGGCTCTGCGCAGCGAGGTGCCTTCCGTGGTGGTCTGCGCCAGCGGCAGCAGCGCGCTCGTGAGACCCCGTCCCCCCAGCAGCTTCGTGAGTGGTACACTGCGCGTCAGCCGGGTGGGGGTCCTGGTCCTTGTACCTACGTCCTGCGTACCGGCGACCGCACTGGTGAGACGTGCGGAGGCCCGCACCCCACCCAGCGCTGCTTCGGCCGCCTGACGGATGCTTGGCGTCTCCAGTTCCCTGGCGCCACTGAGATCCCTCGCTGGGACGAGCTCTTTAGGTCAGGGGCTGCAATCTTTGATCTAGACTTTGATGCTATTCTTGCTGCCATGTATACTGTGTCTACTAGTGATGAGGGTGACTGTTACCTGTGTGTTCCGCCTGACCCGGGCATTGAGGCTGCTGCTCTAGGTGCTGGTGCGTCTGCTCTCTCAGGTACCACGTCGGCTCAGGCCTGTCACACCTTCACCCTTGACTCGGGTGCTTCCCGCTCCTTCTTTAGAGATCGCACCACACTCACGCCGCTTAGTCGGCCGGTTGCGGGGTGCGGAGCCTGAGGGTGCTTGGCCTGCTCGTGTGGCGTCTGGCGATACTGGGTCTGGAGGTCCTTCGGGTGCTTCGTCCCGGCGGGAGCTACTCTCTCCACAGGAGCTGCGCGAGTGGTTTGCTCGGCGCTGGAGCCGTGCTGCTGGAGCTGGAGGTGCTGCTGGTGTTGGAGGTTCTACTGCTGCTGAGGGTGCTGGTGCCACGGGTCCCGGAGGTGCTCGTACTGGGGGTACTGGAGCTGCTGGGCCTGCGGGTACTCCTTGTGCTGGAGCTGCTGGAGGTGCTGGAGCTGGAGCTGGAGCTGCTGGGGGTGTTGGCGCTGGAGTTGCTGCTGGTACTGGTGCTTCTGAGGGTGCTGGTGTTGGCGCTGCTGGAGCTGGTGCTGCTGGCGCGGCTGGAGCTGGGGGTGCTACTGGAGCTGGTGCTGCCGTTGGGGGTGCTGGTGCTGGAGCTGCTGGCGCTGCTGGAGCTGGGGGTGCTACTGGAGCTGGTGCTGCCGTTAGGGGTGCTGGTGCTGTTCCTGCTGGTTCTGGGGGTGCTGCACGGCCGCGGCCGTACTTCGTTCCGCTCCTTGAGCAGGTTCTTGGTCTTCCGCCCTCTACTAGTCCTGCTCCTCCCTTAGAGTGTCCACCGCCTGTCCTGTCCGAGTCACAGTTACAGCCCGCCTCCCCTCTGCCTGCTCCCTCTCCCTACACTGGTCCTACTGGAGGTCTTGCTGAGCGTCGTGAGCCTGCGTCTCGTCCTGCGTCGCCTGTCCGTGCTGCTCGCACTGGTGGTAGTGGTTCGCGTTTGCGTCCTCCTCCTGTCCCCGGTACGCACCGGATGTCTCTGCGTCCTTCCACTGCTCCGCTGCGTGTCCCTTTGCCGTCTCCTCCAGAGTCCTCTCTTCCTGCTCTTCCTGACCCGGAGTCGGACTCCCTTCGTGCTACCAGTCCTACTATCACGCGTCTCCTTGCTACTGTTGTCACTGACCCTTCCTTTGCGTCCACTGCTGCGTCTGCCTTAGTTGCTGAGCTTGTCGACTTCGCTGCTCGCTGTCGTCTAGACTACGCTGCTAGTCTTGTTGCTGAGTCTGAGTCTGTCTGTCCTTCGTCCGTCGGGGGTGAGTGTGCCCTTGGCACGGACGTCCTTGAGGACAGGCAGGAGGAGTTCCAGTGTTTTGCTGCTGCTTCACCTCATCTCGTGTCCATGCTGCTTGCCCCTGAGGAAGACCCGGATGCACCAGACATCCCGACTCCGCGTTCTTACGCAGAGGCGATAGAGGGTCCCTACTCCTCTCAGTGGCAGGCAGCCATGGACGCAGAGATGGCTTCCTGGAAGTCCACAGGCACCTACGTCGACGAGGTTCCCCCACCTGGGGCGAACATCGTCAGTGGCATGTGGATCTTCAGGGTGAAGCGGCCGCCGGGTTCTCCGCCTGTCTTCAAGGCGCGTTACGTGGCTCGAGGCTTCAGTCAACGGCAGGGAGTTGACTACTTTCAGACCTTCTCTCCCACCCCGAAGATGACCACTCTTCGGGTGCTACTGCACATAGCCGCTCAGCGCGACTACGAGCTTCACTCTCTTGACTTCAGCACTGCTTTCCTGCAGGGCAGCCTGCACGAGGAGATCTGGCTGCGCCGCCCACCTGGCTTCACTGGGTCGTTTCCTCCTGGTACCCAGTGGAGCCTCCGGCGGCCAGTCTACGGTCTCCGCCAGGCGCCCCGTGAGTGGCACGACACACTGAGGACTACACTTGCGGCTCTTGGGTTTGCTCCTTCTACTGCCGACCCGTCGCTGTTTCTACGCACCGACACCTCTTTGCCGCCGTTCTACATCCTTGTGTATGTCGACGACTTGGTCTTTGCCACAGCTGACACTGCTGGACTCGCCCACGTGAAGTCCGAGCTGCAGAAGAGACA